ACTTGTGATGTCTACAGATTAGGTATTTTGGCAGTTATCTAAGCCTTTGCCTGTTCTGACTCAAAGCCTTATTCTTTCTCTATCGACGCCTTGCGTAACATGGGATTGGGTTTTTAAGGCGGCATAAAGCTTTATGTTGTTCCTTTTTGAGTACACTAGATTAAAAACTAACGTTTTCAGATGCCTAATGATGTTTAACCACTAATAAATCAGAATAATGGGTCAAGATTTCAATTCTTGGTTTTGGGACACGTTAGTTGTTGGGGTTGAACTAATGTCGATAGCATAAGGACTGTACCTTGATGCGGGCGTTTTATTTGTTGCCCATCGTAATAATTGAATGGTTGATGGGGCTTCTTCAGGGGTTTGATTTGCCGTAATGTTAATGATATCATGCATGTGAGGCTTTTCTAAGAAGAAAATGCGTTAAAACACTTTTTAGTTGGTTCCCAGAAAGAACCGCAACGGAAAAAAGCGCAACGGAAAAAAGCGCAAATCAAAAAGCGCAACGGAAATAAGCGCACACGGAAAAAAGCGCAAAGAGAAAAAAGCGCACACAGAAAAAAGCGCAAAGAGAAAAAAGCGCAAACGGAAAAAAGCGCAAAGAGAAAAAAGCGCACACAGAAAAAAGCGCAAACAGAAAAAAGCGCAAACGGAAAAAAGCGCAAAGAGAAAAAGCGCACACGGAAAAAAGCGCAAAGAGAAAAAAGCGCAAACAGAAAAAAGCGCAAAGAGAAAAAAGCGCACACAGAAAAAAGCGCAAACAGAAAAAAGCGCAAACGGAAAAAAGCGCAAACAGAAAAAGCGCAAACGGAAAAAAGCGCAAACAGAAAAAAGCGCACACGGAAAAAAGCGCAAACGGAAAAAAGCGCAAACGGAAAAAAGCGCAAACAGAAAAAAGCGCAAACGGAAAAAAGCGCAAACAGAAAAAAGCGCACACAGAAAAAAGCGCAAACAGAAAAAAGCGCAAACGGAAAAAAGCGCAAACAGAAAAAAGCGCACACAGAAAAAAGCGCAAACGGAAAAAAGCGCAAACAGAAACAGAAAAATGCGCAACCAGAAAAAACACAACGAAAAATGTGCAAAAGAGAAATTTAGCACAAAGACCATATGGACTAGATGACACATTTATACATGACTGTTAGGGCTGCTGTGAGAGTGTCGTGTTTGATCACGTGATCTACTACCATTTAAAGCGTACCACTCACCCACACATCCATCCACCCACCCACACACCCATCCATCCACCCAAACATCCATCCACCCACCGACACATCCATCCACCCACCCACACATCCATCCACCCACCGACACATCCATCCACCCACCCACCCACACACCCATCCACCCACCCACCCACACATCCATCCACCCACCCACCCACACATCCACCCACCCACCCACACATCCATCCACCCACCCACCCACACATCCACCCACCCACCGACACATCCATCCACCCACCCACCCACACATCCATCCACCCACCCACCCACACATCCACCCACCCACCGACACATCCATCCACCCACCCACACACCCATCCATCCACCCACCGACACATCCATCCACCCACCCACCCACACACCCATCCACCCACCCACCCACACATCCATCCACCCACCCACCCACACATCCACCCACCCACCCACACATCCATCCACCCACCCACCCACACATCCACCCACCCACCCACACATCCATCCACCCACCGACACATCCATCCACCCACCCACACTGCATATAAGTATTCGCATAGATTTAGAGTAGCGTCCCTTTTGTTTACATGTTTTCATTACCCTTCAAACAAAAGTCTATTTTTACAAGCTTTTATTTAACTCACTTCCTCTGTCGTCCGCCAGTCTGTCTTGACGGAAACGCAGGAGTCAAAATTCGGACAGTTCTACTTGACCGACACGATTCACAGTTGGCACATGGGTCAAGACATGAAGACAATGCAATCTGAAACTAAATTTGACTTAATTGGATGCCTAATTGATTTTTTATGAATTAATTAAAATTTGGACCGAATTAGTAGGCATGTCTAGCCAACCACACCACACGCGTCATCAATAACTGCGCCATCACGACCACGTAATGGCTGCGTTCAAAAACCATTGCGCGCCTACTGAACGTGATGTTCAGTAGGCGCGCAATGGTTTTTAGTCATGTAACTCTATTGTAAATAAAACATGTAAAGTACTGAAAAAAAAATTCATAAAAAACGTTTTAATAACAAGCTTTTATGTAATGATGCACTAAAAAGTAGAAAATAAATTATAGACTACTATTTAAATAACTATAAAGAAAAGCGTGGGTCACTTTAGTATCTATTGGATACCTTTACTAATGTTAAGGAAGACACCCACGCTTTTCTTTATAGTTATTTAAATAGTAGTCTATAATTTATTTTCTACTTTTTAGTGCATCATTACATAAAAGCTTGTTATTAAAACGTTTTTTATGAATTTTTTTAGTTATATTGAGATTAAAGAATGTAAATAAATAGTATACACAATTCTGTAGAATAGGAACGATTGGGAGGGAAGTGACATTTAGCGCAGTAAATTTAGAGGTTAGGTAGGGTATAATAAATGGTGGGGTTAGGAAAGTTAAGGGGTCCATTCTCTAATAGGCAATCTTTGTCTCTTTCGTACTTTCGTGTTGGTTTATTGTCGAACCTGTCCTCGCCTCACATCACAACAGTTGGGTGACGCTTACCGTTTAATGTTAAAATAAATAGCATGTAATTGAGTTAGTTCGAAGTGAGTTTTCATACAAGCCCAACGCACTATTTAAGGTTGTCGCAAAATGTAACATATATGTAACATATGTCAATGATGTCAATGAATTTTCATTAAAAAAAAGATGTTTAGTACAGTTTACGAAGCTTACGAACTTCGCCGATACTTTTTTGGTGGGTAGTTTGGTAAGTATGTAGGCGGATAGGTGGGTAGGTGGGTAAGTGGGTAGGTGGGTAGTTAGGTAGGTAGGTAGGTAGGTGGGTAGGTGGGTAGTAGGTAGGTAGGTGCGTCATGATGTGAAAAAATATTAAATACAAAATTGGTATTTTGGTGCGAATGAATGTTGTTACGAGAGATATGACGAATGCATGTTTGATGACGCGGATGAAAGGGAGTGAAGTTTTGCCATAGGAACGGGTTGTTACAGTATGCAAGCTAGGTAGTTCGGACTAGGGAGAATGTGAAAGATACTTCGTGTAATGTCGATAGTTTTATGTTTATACGAGAATAGTAGTTGAATAATTATTGACCAAGAAAATAATAGGCATTGTGTAAAGTGATTATCGCCTGTATCGTGGTGATGGGAATGCAGATGGTAGTGGTACGCTTTAAATGGTAGTAGATCACGTGATCAAACACGACACTCTCACAGCAGCCCTAACAGTCATGTATAAATGTGTCATCTAGTCCATACGGTCTTTGTGCTAAATTTCTCTTTTGCACATTTTTCGTTGTGTTTTTTCTGGTTGCGCATTTTTCTGTTTCTGTTTGCGCTTTTTTCCGTTTGCGCTTTTTTCTGTGTGCGCTTTTTTCTGTTTGCGCTTTTTTCCGTTTGCGCTTTTTTCTGTTTGCGCTTTTTTCTGTGTGCGCTTTTTTCTGTTTGCGCTTTTTTCCGTTTGCGCTTTTTTCTGTTTGCGCTTTTTTCCGTTTGCGCTTTTTTCCGTTTGCGCTTTTTTCCGTGTGCGCTTTTTTCTGTTTGCGCTTTTTTCCGTTTGCGCTTTTTTCTGTTTGCGCTTTTTTCCGTTTGCGCTTTTTTCTGTTTGCGCTTTTTTCTGTGTGCGCTTTTTTCTCTTTGCGCTTTTTTCTGTTTGCGCTTTTTTCTCTTTGCGCTTTTTTCCGTGTGCGCTTTTTTTTTGCGCTTTTTTCTGTTTGCGCTTTTTTCTGTGTGCGCTTTTTTCTCTTTGCGCTTTTTTCCGTTTGCGCTTTTTTCTCTTTGCGCTTTTTTCTGTGTGCGCTTTTTTCTCTTTGCGCTTTTTTCCGTGTGCGCTTATTTCCGTTGCGCTTTTTGATTTGCGCTTTTTTCCGTTGCGCTTTTTTCCGTTGCGGTTCTTTCCGGCCACCTTTTTAGTTATGCTTTTTAAAAATAGGCCTATATTTTACGACAACATAATCGTAATGAACAATAAAATGAATTTAAACAACTTTAGAATACACCTGTTTCGGCTAACATGAATGTTATTCTTCAAACTAGTAATGTTAAACGTGTCTTTTTCGCATTTTCGACTTATAAGCAATACAGTAAATTCCGATAACTTCCATATGCGTACAAGCAATGGCGTAGGCGAGGAGGGGTTTAATAGCGATTTAATAATGATACTTTCTTAACCCTCTACTGGACATCATGTTTGGTACCTTGCCCCCGGCAACTGGGTGGATTTGGATTACACCCAAGTTTTACTTCATAGTAAATGACTTCAGTTTTAATTATTGGAGTTGGTAGCAACATTGACACAGTTGAAGGTATTCAGAACAAGGTGGCCAGGAGAAATCACATTAATTAGTATAAAATTTACCATTACTAACAATAGGCCCTACTTAATTGTTTAATGTTGCTGGATATTAAGCCTGGTAGATATTTATGTTTATTAATTTGTACAGAAACAAAAAAAGGATTCCCAAACAAAGTTTTATTTTTCAGAAATAAAGAAAATGATACAAATCAATAAAGAACAGTTTTCAAATGAATTTGTATAAAAGTAATTATTATAAAATAGGAATATAGCATTGCATAGATAAAAATAAAATACTTGACACAAACAATATGAGGAATATTTTTTATCAGAGAGGAGAAAAATATATGATGTAGTTTGAAAATAATAATGTACAGAATGTAGCTTTTGCAGATTAAAATGAAAATTCTCATGCCTATATAATTTATTGAGTAAATGAAGCAATGCCCAAAACACTAGGCTAAATAATATACATGGGACAGGCATTGAAAACTACAAATTGCATAAAGTAAAGGTTACCCTATTTATTGGCTATATCCACAGTAAAGATTTATGGCTTTATTACCTGCTTGTAAAATTGTTAAGGAAAAAGTAAAGTATTGTTAACGGCACATGTTGTCATTTTTTGTGTTCTCGGCACATGTTGCCATTATGTGTGTTCTGGGAACATGTTGCCATTATTTGGCTGTGTTCTGGGAACATGTTGCCATTTTGTGTGTTCTGGGAACATGTTGCCATTTTGTGTGTTCTGGGAACATGTTGAAATTATGTGGCTGTGTTCTGGGAACATGTTGACATTATGTGGCTGTGTTCTGGGAACATGTTGCCATTTTGTGTGTTCTGGGAACATGTTGCCATTTTGTGTGTTCTGGGAACATGTTGACATTATGTGGCTGTGTTCTGGGAACATGTTTGTTTCATTTTTAAATATTATAATAAAACATTTTTAGAAATTCTATATTAGGAATTGTGTATATATATATAAATTTATATATTTAATAAGACAATTGGATGAATTATAATAAACAGCAAAAATGATTCAAATAAGTTTAGAAGTATTTGGCTTGATGTCCCAACAGTGAACTGTATTCCGAGCTTGTTTCCCTAGTGATAACCCATCTTTTTTGTGCCACCCTTCCAATCAAATATCCAGCTTTTTCTTGGCCTGTATCATAATGCTGGTCATAGACTTGCTTGATTTGTGTATCACAATATGATTTTGAATGTTCTTCTGTAAATGAAATAAAGACAAAATATTTTGAAATATTCTTTTGTGGAACTAGCAAGAGAAATACATTACACATTTATATTACTATCTCTACTATTTCTTTACTATAACTAATTACTTTGAAAAGATAAAGCACTGAACATGATGAATAACAAGAAACAAACATTATCAGCAAATATTATAGATTTAAAATTGTGTTCATTCATATTGAAGATTAATGAAGTAGACTATCAATATTTACCCTCTTGATAGCTGATACTTTGATTTGATGTCTTTACTTTAAGCTTACACATCAGTCTCTGTGTGGTAAAATATGAAATAATATGCTTCAATAAAACTGTTTCAGTATATTAATTATATTAGATAAGTACATAGTTTTGAGCTCTATAACAATATGTGTTTCAATTATCATTCAAATATAATACCCTCTATGTTGTACAACTCACTGATTTATTAGAATTTAACCCTTTCCCCGGCAACATATTTGGTACCCTGTCCCCGGCAACTGGGTGGATTACACCCGGAGACTTTCTTTTAGTAAATTCTTTTCTTTGTTCATTGTGGGGTGGGTAACAATACTGACACAGTTGAGGTATTCAGGGCACAGAGGCCATGGGGAACACAAGACATGTTGTTGTCAATGGGAAAGCTGTAATATGACACTACAGGTTGATGGGATTCTCAAGCAAGAGTTAACCTGTGGGTGGACGTATGTAGTGATTTATACTCTTTGCTGGAGCTCTGACTTGCAGTTACAAACAGAACTGTAGTTTAGAGTTACAATAGGTTAATGAAATGCAGGGGTAAGATTGCCTGTGGGAGGACATATAAGGTGATTTGTACTCTTTTAGGGAGCTCTGGAATGAAGATTAGTGTAACTTGACATTAACCTCATAAGGAGTACAAATGAGGACAAAAAGGCAAAATAACTTTGTAATGCTGCTTGAAAGTTGATACTGGGTAATGAGTTGATCAAACTAGGAGTGGGGTGGGTGTTCTACAGGTTGTGACCCTGAGAGTAAGGTTTATAAATAGCCATACACATTATTGAGAACACAACAGAAACAAGTCTTGAATGCTTTTGTCTAAACTCAAGGCTAATGATAAAGGAATATATTTGCCAGTTTTGGTTTAGCAGGTGAAAATTACCAACAAGTTTTGAGTCTGAATTATCAGTATCAGAGGTAGAAGATGAAGAATTGCAGCCATCAGTATCAGAGGTAGAAGATAATCCTGGTTCAGTTTCAACCAGCTCTGATGACGAGGGCTACCCAATATACTGCATTTCAACTATCAATAATGTGACAACAGTTTGCACACATAATGAAATGAAACTGATGGTGCAAAGTGAAGAAAAAGAAATATTTTCAGGAAAGACAAAGTAACAGTACACTGCCTGAAGTGCAAATCCCAGGAAAAATAAAAACAGACTCAAAATATTTCTTCTGTACATGAATACAAAAAGTAATACAACCAATATTTGACTTCATTAGCAGGGATTGAGAGAAAGCAAGAGGAGACACTGGCACTCTGCAGAATAACAATTTAGTTGTATGTCAATTCAGTTCTAATTATGTAAGTTTTTGAAGGCAGAATTTTCTATGAAGAGATTCATCAACCTTCTGGGTCATATTCACTTTCACAACAATAACACTAACAGTCCATCAGGCTCATGGTATATTTGCTCCCATTATGGTAGATATTCCATACAAATTTAGCAGGGTGCTATGTTTCTGGAGAGATCATTACTAATTGGGCAACTGGTTGAATTAAGAGATGGGAGTAGATTTATCCAATACATACCAAGCAATTCCGATAAGTATGGAATTAAAATATTTAGGGCATGTGACTCATGTAACACCACTAAAAGGGTGCCTATATTTTGTCAAAGAAAACTAAAGTTCCCTACCAGCAAAAGGAAATGTCCAGTTATTTTAATTTTATCTAACAACTGTGCTCTCTGAGGTGCAAATTATTAAAACGTGTTAATGTTCTATTATTTTATTACTAAAGTTGATTACTTCAATTCTGTTTGATATATTTGTTTCTCAAATACCTTCAGATTGGTATTTTATAGTTAAACTTTGAAAATGTAACACAATGACTTAACCCACAATGAGTAAAAACATATATTTAGAAGCCAGTTTATAAGGTATAAATATTTTTCCCATTCAAAATTGTGTACGGGTGTGTAAAACCCAGTTGCCAGGGACCGTATAAAAAAATTTCAAACCCTCATAAAAAAAATTTTTACGCATATTTTTTAAATTTACAACCTCCAATGTGTTCATCCCAACCACCTTATAGATGGGAATGAGGCCCAAAAAAATTTATTAAACGAGACTCGAGATATGAGCAAAAATATAGCGACTTCGGGTCGATTACACCCAGTCGCCGGGGAAAGGGTTTAAGAAAAGACAATAATTAATAAAATATTTTGGATTAAAATCCATTATATTTATTATAACATATAATGCTATCTCTTGCTATAATAATTACTTTAAAAAATGGGTTATGCCTATAGTACAGTTACCTGAGGATGAAACTAGGCACAGTGTATAGTCCACGGAGACTGATTAATATCACTTGTAATTGAACATCAGTTGTAGTTATGAAATCTGGATGGCCAAACACACACTCATAGTCCTGAAAAGCAATTTACACATAGATTAGCAAGAATATCTCACAAATTATTAAATTAAAGCTAACCCTTATTTAGTGCAATCCATCAAAGTAGTAGCATTTTTGTTAAGTTGTAGACACAATACAAAGTAATGTTTGTTCTGTGATTTACATACTTTTATAAAATAGCAATATATATATATATATATATATATATATATATATATATATATATATATATATATATATATATATTCATTGTAAATTTTAGTTATGTCTTGCTATTAAATTTATTTACTCGACTGATCTAAACTCACTTTATTTAAACATAATATAGTGGATAAGTATAGTGATTTTATTATTCAGCAATAAATAGCAGGCCTAAAAAATTTTAAATAGTAACGTTTGCGAATGAACACATTAAATTCTATGTATTTCCATTTCTATGTCTTTCCCAACTTGATGCATATTACTAACCAAGCATTAAACTATAGTCCTAAACCTGACTCTAATTACCATTTATCGGACAACCTGAACCTTTGCGATACCATGTTAAAATATATTATTTTAAAAAAGGGCTTACCACTAATTACTAAAATCAATTGTGTTTAGTATTAACTGAGCCGCATACTATTTGCTCCTATTGTCATCACCAGAAATCCAGTATCTTGGCAAAGATTAGTCTCTAAGTTCCCTGCAACCTCCTTCCTCTTGAGTGCGGAAAACACTGAAATCATAAACATTATTTCATTATGCCTAATAGTTTAAAGGTAGTATTAAAGTAGTACTAAATAGTACGAGTCTTAGTTACTATAGGTCTAATGATAATTATTATTGTGTATGCTTACATGCTTTAAGTTTTATGCACAATATCGGTATATAATATATAGTCTATAGTATATAGCCTAAGCTATAGAGTATATAGGCCTATAAGCCTAAATATAACAGCAGCTTGAATAATGCTCATTAGCATGCATTCACTATAAACTATAAAGATAAACAAATATTTCAATTTAATTTAATTATAACTAATAATAGTAAATAGGCTTTTTTCTTGTGGTAACAAATTTAAAGTATAGGGCAGTACAGTTATACACTATATAACTGTTATAGTATAGTATAGGCCTACTAGATTCTATATTTAAGTATGTGGGCTTTTCATTCCAATGCACCACAGTAGATACCACACATGATCAAGCTGGACCTCTGATCTAAAGATTTAATAATTGGGCCTAACAAACAGTGAAACTTCAATAAAAATCATGTAAATTACTAATTTAACCTTCTTACCTCCGCTTCTCTAGATCTAGATGGGTTTTCTTTTTATGCAGCCGTATGATTAGATTCTAGAATCTAGACTATATTCTAATAAACATGAAATAACTACTAACCAGAACACTAGATCTAAATTTCTATATTCTAAGAAATATGTATTAAACCTATAGGCCTAATATATATTTTAAATTCCTATGCGATGTGTCGTGAACTGTAGGTTTCATGTTATTTTTGCAATGGCGGAAATCAGTTTAAAATTTCGTTTCCTTCCTTTTGTTATTCTATTTATAGATTCAAAAGTAGGAGCAATTATCATTGAGTAAGTCGGCTGATCCACACAGGAAGTGCTGGTATATCTATTACTTACTCAGTGATCTGATCATTGACAGAAACATAGATAGCCATTCGCATGGGGTGGAGAGAGAGAGAGAGAGAGAGAGAGAGAGAGAGAGAGAGAGAGAGAGAGAGAAGTGCGCACATGGGCTATTATATATTAGGATACCGCATATAGAGAAAAAAAATTGCGCCCTGCTGGGGCGCCACCCCTGCGAATTAGATTTTTTTTCGCAGAATCCTCCCCAGAAATATTCACAACAACTTCCCAAAGTTTCACGCCGAGGTGATGAGAGGTGTAGTATTGCATAAAAGACAAACACACAAACACACAGACATTGCTTTTATCTTCTTCTTCTTCTTCGTTCTTAATTATTAGTGTTGAAGGGGATCGAGATTTATCTGCCAGTGCGTTTTAAACTCGAGACTGTTCGAATTTATCAACCATGAGCTTTGCCGACTCGACCACGACTCCAGCACAATTAAGCGTTACGTGTCAACTGGTTATGCGCCATTGAGGCCATTGACTCCGATTTCAGCCTGCTTTTCTTTTTGGATTTGCTTCCATAGCCTTTGTCCAACCAAGAACAAACTACAAGGCAGCAGTTGTTTAATTTCGGAGTTGTCTCTCCTAGAAGAGTGGCTGTCCCCAGCTAACGAGCCTCATCTTCCCGGGTGTTCGAACTCGAGACTTTTCGGTTTAGCAACCATGAGCTTTACCGACTCGACCACTCCGACCCCCATTGCTTTTATATATATATATATACCAGCGTACCCGTCCCCGCGCGTTGGCGGGGGAATAGAAGAATGGTTTCATCCATGCGTTACCAATCCTAGATCTATATTCTTAGACACGTAACCTGGTTTTCTAAAAGTGAGTTATTAAAATGTAAAAAATGCCTGCGGTTCGATCATAAATACCGGGACACGGGTTTACCTTCACTACCGCGTGAAAACCTTATGCGTACATTAATCACTCACCGAAATAATATGGCAGAACACACTTCGGTGACCGCCCATGTGTCAGGTACGTAGAGGGGCGCTCTCATGAGCACCCCCCCCCTCGATTACACTACCGCATTGGCGCCACGTACGGCCCATGGCTCCTTAAAAACTAACAGGCGCCATCGTGCCAAATAGTATCCTGTTAACAATAATGCAGATTGCGTCATTCGCAAAAGTGACACAAATGAACAGGATTGTTTTCTTTAGCACGTAAAAAAGTATTTCGCGTGTTTTAAACATCAGTTTGAATGATGCAATATGTTAGCGTTACTAATAGTCTATTATTAGATGCTCGGTCTCAATTTCTGATTGATTGTTTAAAACTAGATGCAAATTGCATCATTCGCAAAATAACGAAACTGTTTGGATTTTTTACGGACAAAAAGAAACACCCCAGTTAATAATCTAACCTTGGTTAGTTTTTCTGATTATTAAAATAAAACGTATTACATGGCCCTCAGCGGCCCATGTGAGCCTTTGGGGGCCGAAAGTGAATTTTTTTGTTTGCAGCCAAATCGCACCCTACCAGGGCGCCGGCGGACACGCCTGATTCAATTTAGTAAGCGTTTGTAACGCCACATTCTATCTATTGTCTATCACGCTATTTAGACCCAACGTAGTCGCCATAGCGCTCACGGTAAAGAACAGGACGCCAAATGCCATCCTGCCGGGGGGCCTCCCATGCAAAATTAAATCCCCCCTCCCACCACCATCCACCCTTCAATCACCCCAGAAACCTTATCGGGAGTATTCGTCAACTCCCTAAAACTTTATGGCACTCGGATAAAATGTGTCGAACAGCAATCGTCTTTTTTTTTATATACCGTACATATAGAAAAATCGCACACTCCCGCGGCGCCGCCCTTGCGAAAATGAAAAATGACTTTTTTTTTTTTACAGAACCCTTCCCTGGAGTGTTCTAATCAAGTCCCCGAAGTTTGATGGCTATCGGTTGAACGCCGTGAAACTTTTATTTTTATATACCACTAGCGTACCCGCCTCCCGTGCGTTGCCGCGGGGATAGAAGAAAGTCTGACGAAATATATTAGAACGATATCACCAATGCATTACCAATCATATGTTCTTAGACGCGTGTCCTTCTTTTCTAAAACTGTGTTATTTAAATGTTAACAATCCTGCGCTTGGATAATAATTATCGGGACACGGGTTTTCCTACACTACCGTATGAAAACCTTGAGTGTATATTAATCACTCACCGAAATAATGAGGTAGAACACATTTTGGTGACCACCCATGTGTCAGGGACGTAGAGGGGCGCTCTCAGGAGCCCCTACCCCCCGATTACACTACCGCATAGGCGCAGCGTACGGCCCCTGGCTCCTTAAAACTAACTGATGCAATATGCTAGCGTTACTAATGGTCTATTATTAGATGCTCGATCTCAATTTCTGACTGGATCGTCTAATAATAGATGCTTATTGCATCATTCGCAAAGTGACGAAACTCTACAATATGCTCCTCATATTCAAAATGTTATTTTTCATCTTTCGCAAGGTGACGAAACTGTACAGGATTTCCTCGCGTTACAAAGTTATTTTTTAGAAGCCTGTTGTTGTTTTACCGCTGAATTTAGTAGTACCCCTTACTCACTATGCAGGACGCTCGATTAACGGGTGCCAAATGCCAACATAGTCGCTCTCAAACTCTGGGCGCCAAACCGTGTATTGACGAAAATTGTACCCTAAATGGCGCCGCCCATAAGAAACTTTAGTTTTCTTTTTCGCAGATATATTCTCGGGAGTATTTTCATCTACTCCTAAAGTTTCAAGGCACTCCGATAAACCGCATCCGATTTTTATTTTTTATATACCGTGTATAGAGAAAAAAAATCGCTCCCCCCCGGTGGTGCGCCGCCCTTGCAATATAAAACAATATTTTTTGCAGAACCCTACCATTGAGTGATCTAATCATCTCCCCAAAGTTTCATGGTACACGGATGAACGGTGTGAAAACGAAATTTTATAAACCGTATATAGAGAAAAATCGCAGCCGCCCGTGGCGCCGCCTTTGCGAAATTAATAAAGTTTTTTTTTACAGAACCCTTCCCTGAATTGTTCTAATTAACTCCCCCAAAGTCTCATGGCTATCGGATAACGGTGTCACACCAAAATCGACTTATTTTTATAAACCGTATATAGAGAAAAATCGCACCCTCCCGTAGCGCCGCCCTTGCGAAATTAAAAATGATTGTTTACAGAACCCTTCCCTAGAGTTTTATAATGAACTCCCCAAAGTCTCATGCCTATCGGATAAACGGTGTCACCTCAATTCACTTTTATTATTTTTATATACCGCATAAAGAGAAAAAAACAAATCGCGCCCTGCCGGGGCGCCACCCCTGTAAATTTGAAAATGTTTTAGCGCAGAAATCTCCCCAGTAATATTCTCTACATGTTCCCAAAGTTTCATGGCGATCGCGTGAACGGTGTCACCGCAATTCACTTTTATTTTTTTATATACGTATTATAGAGAAAAATCGCATCCTCCTGTGGCGCCGCCCTTGCGAAATTAAATATGATTTTTTTACAGAACCCTTCCTCAGAGTGT